CATGAGTAAATTTAGAGTATTCCTTGAGTTCACATGGAACTAGATTTATTGCCTGTTGCTGTAAGTTTTTTGTATTGATGTTGTTTGCTTTAGTGATTGCTGTTCTTCGCTTTATCTTAGTTTAATAGCGAGTTAAAGGGCATGAACTTGAAACTGGTAATAAATGTGCATTTGACATCCTGCTTTTTGCTTTTACTTCTTATTCCTATGTGTAACAGACAAACTGTTTCTTTTTGCAAATTCTTTTGCTCATAATTTTTCATTGCATGTAAATTTGAGTGTGCAAATACTGTTAATTGAGAAGCTGGCTTGGGAAATAACATTTTTAATATTCCCCATTGTATACTTATTGCATCTAATTCATCTTATACTAAGAAACTTTGTTGTTGTTTTTGTGATAAAGATGTAAAATTCTGAAATATATCACTCAGTCTTCAAGAGTCCTATTTTTTCTTCAGTATGTAGTTCACTGTAAGTAAAGCATTTACAAATTTGTCTCTGAGCTGTTTCAAAGATCTTGGGGGCATGCAGAGATACTTGATCTATACTTTCAGTCAGTTAGATAGTAGATACATGCTAATGTTCTTATCAAATATCAGTCTTGAATTACATTATACTCACTCTCGTTTAGAACTCAATGCCAAAAGGACTGGTTATGGAGATATTAGAGTTTGATATGTTTGCCTGTCTTCCACTGAAAAATTGCTTTGCACAGAAAGTGAAAAGTTCTTCATTTCAAAATGAAGGCAAGAAGTACTGAACTCACTTCCCACTCCGTTATTTGGCTTATTGCAACTTTACAACATTTTCATAAAAATTTAGCAACTAAAAATTAAATTAACTCTTCCTTATTAATAGAACAAACATTAAAGGGAAGTAGAATGAAAAGATACATTACTTATTTTGCTCTATTCACTACCTCTTGCTCACTATCTACTGAGAGTTTGCAGGGATGTTTTATCACCTCCATCAAGATACAAAAACTTCTCCCATTTTCCCCCTGAGCTGACTCACTTTTGACATGGTTGCCTTCACTTTATTTCCAAAATAGTAGATGCTAATGCATCAAATTCTGTACACTTTCAGACTAAGTGAGTGAGATCCCTTTGAATGAACTGGACTGCATACCCTAGCAATGCTATCACTAAAATAGGAATACTTGTTTCCAACTAATCCTAAATAAAAATATCTTGTATTACACTGAAAGCATTTATTTTTCATTTTTAAACTATCATACTGGTAATTTATACCTTTTAAACGTTATATCTCAAGCTTTAAATAGGCAAATAATTTTCTACTTTCCGTTTTCCACCAATAGATGGCAGGTCAAGCTCTAGAAAATTATTCACTTGATACAGCATGAGATAGTGTGTAATTTGAAAGTACATAGCCAGCTGTAAATTACTGCTCTCTGATACCTCTTTGGATGCGATCATGACTTAGTCCTAGCCCATCCACCTTGTATTACAAACCTTAGTCTAAGTTTAGGAATAGCTCCATGTTGCATGTAGAACTCTTATTTCTTTTGTTCCACTCCATTAGGTGAAACTGAAGTTTGTGCACACTGATTTCTCTCTTGGTCAAGAAGACATTGTCAGTGTGGTGTAGCAGCTGTTATATTCATTCAGTGTCTTAAGACTGAGCTTTCTGTAACTAAACAAGAAAAGCTCTGCATTCATACACACGTCAGAAATCACACCAATCATAAGCCACAAAAGAATAGCTTAAAGCTCAGTGATTTCCAGTTCCAGCTAGAAACACAAGGAGCGAGTGCAGGAGGAGAAAGAGACTACTACACTGACAAAACTTATTCTAATATACCTCATTAAGGATGCTCTTAATGTGTTAAAATAATTCTTTGTATATGATGCTGCATTTTTTTAAATCCATTTGCTTTTCTGAAACACAAAAGCAGGAGGGATTGAATCTTGTTCACATACAAGCTAAAAGGATACAGTGCTAAAATTCACAATAGAGTGATAAAAAAAGATGAAGACTCATGCTATAATTGTTTTAAGGACAACAAGTAATATGTTGTAGTCAATTAATTGTAGGATCTAATTGAAAAATGAATAGAAGTGTGCATAAACCACAGGGGTTTAGGACTGCAGAGCACAAAAGGATACCTTTCCCTCTAGGCAATCTGCATTAGTAAATGTACATTATTTTTCCTGCAAAATGATTTCCTGAAATCAGTCTGCCTCATAATTGCCCTGCTGTTACTGGCAGTCTAAGTATTGATGACTAAGTGACCATTAGAGCTCAGCTGGTTCTTGTATATATCACAATACCTCCTCCAGGCTGACAGAGTAGACAAATTTGATTGCTCTCATCCCTGCATTGCAGCCTTGATGATTTCTATTAATTCACTCTATTCAGTAATCCTTACATTTTTATAAGTTAATTTGGTTTTCTGAGCTCCACTTCTAAGTGTAATTCTCAGCACATATTCCACTGTATTTGGTAGCTTTCACTGTTTTGCTGGCAACAGCAGCAAAACATGGATAAAACCCAAGGGCATCAGGAAGCATCAGTGGTTAGACAATGAACAACGAAGATCATGCACTTCACTCAGTGACTATTAATCACCCTCTACCAGTAATGCTACAGAAAAGAAGGGAGGATATCTAAAGCTGCTTCAAATGACCAGCTCTCCAGTGAACTGGGGAAGTTTGGAAGCATACATCATGACCAAAACAAATTACAAAACCTAATTTTGGATGACCAATTTAGGTGTCTTTGTCTTTCTAGTCCAGACAACAAAGACAAGAGAGCTGTTTGAATAACCCTCTGCAGGAAAACCCTGACTACACAGGAATCTGAACTTCCGTCTCTATCACCTCAGGCAAATACCCCAAATAAGACAACATGAACGACCCCTTCAGATAGTGTATCTGTCACTGAATGTGAAATAAATGGATGCAATTAATAACCAAATTCCCAAGGGCCAGGTCACAGCATACAAAACCAGCACATGACCACAGACTCGAGAGTAACACGATGCTAAGCTGTACATTACCTTGATAAATAACAAATTTATCAATAAATAAATCATATAATTTCAAATAACAGACAGCACATTCTATCACAACAGAACTATTAAATAATCAGACTGTCTCAAAGCTACACATTTGCCCTTAGCTTGTCTTTGCTTGGAGCCTCTCTCCCGGAAGAGTAAACTTTTCATTCAAACCTCAACTGAGAGCAGCCTGTAGTCAGTGAAACTGCAGAGAAAGGTCTGTAAACAATACCTGCTCTGTAGAGAACAAGCTGACCTTTATAGATGTTAAACAAAACAAAAAGGGTTGATTGATGCTGGGCAGTACCTGCTCTCCAAAATATTAAACCTAAGAAAGTCAATGGAAGGTTAGTTCATGAACATACAGTGTGATAAATTATGTCAGTGGGTGGTGGGGTAGGGAAGGGGAAAGCATAATTTGGTAAAATATTTAGGGCAAAAAGCCTGTATATTAACCTGGAAAAGGAAAAAGTGTGTATTGCTGATTTCTGTTAAATGGAAAAAAAAAACAAAACCAACCAAACTTATGTTACCTAGAGCAGGTCAGTTGCTGAAATCTTCATGACTCATTTATTAAATTCTGATTAACACAGTAAGACATCATATGTTATTTAGCATAAGAAATTGATTTGTAAATTCCAACAGATAATTACAATTTAGCCACAAATGTGCTACTAATATAGAAAGGGACAATCTAACCTAGATAGAATCATGAAATCACTTATGCTGGAAAAGGCCCTCCAGATCAAGTCCAACCACAACCAGCACTGCCAAATTCCCTCCTTAAACCATGTCTCTGAGAGCAACATCTACAAATCTTTTAAATACCTCCAGTGCTGTCAACTCAACCACTTCCCTGGGCAGCCTGTGCCAATGCTTTATAAACCTTTCAGTGAACAAACTGTTACTAATATGCAATTTAAGGCCGTTTCTTCTTTTCCTCTCACTTCTGATCTGGGAAGAGACCGATACCTATCTTGCTGCAACCTCCTTCCTGCTAGTTTCGGTTTCAGTCTGCCTGTGTCTTGTGGATCCCCACAGCTCTCATCCAGGGTAATAGGACATAAGCAGTTATTTACAGACAATGACAATACTGTCTTGGAAGCAAAAGACACAACCCCACAGCACCTTTCCAATACTGTAAACTAGGACCTAACCATGTACTGAAAGCAATGCCCAGGACAGAATTACCTTAATACAAAAATATTTAATGCTGTCCTTGTCATGCTTTTTATATGCTTTAACCGTGGTTTCTAGAAGACAGCAAAAATGCCTTTGGGCAGCAGAGGAAGTATCTGGCATTAGAATTTTTTGCAATGCAGGATGACTTGGAGGAAGTTAAGGATCATATTATGATTATGCAGGAAATCTGCTGAGAATCTGAGATGAAAGAGTTGAGATCACTGAAGTCAAGAGGTATTTAGATTTCAGACCGGCATCTCTCTCTGGCTTTTAATCAAAAATATAAATCACATAGCTCCAAAAAAATAAGTTCATTTTCAACACATTTTAGGCAATTTTGCCTAAAGTGAGAAAGAGAACTCTGCCGATGAAACATGAAAGTGCAGGTACATGTCTTGGGATTGGTTGTTAGGTAAGCTCTGAACAAAACTGTGGCAAAAAGAAGTGACTTTTCAGACAAGTCCCAAAAGCAAAGTTATGATTACATTAGGAATCTGTGTGAAAGGGACAAAGAAGCTTGTGAAACCAGTGCAGCAATGTGTAAAGATAGGAGAGAGAAACAAGTAGTTATCCAACAATAAATGCATTCAGAAGATCAGCCATAACACTTGTTGATGTGGACTGATTTTCAGAAATTCTGAGCTGAGTTTGACAGAGGCTCAGGATCACTGAATATCAAGAAAACTTACATTATTCTTGTGCGCTCTGTAACACACTGCATAGTATCCCATTCATTTTAGCTGCAGACAAATAATTGAAAAGTTCTACATTTTCCTGGTTACAAACTAAAACTATTTACCATTGGTGTGGCCTCTGTGAAATCCATCAGGAGGTCACCTGGCTCCAAAGCAAATGTACTCCCAGCATCTGTGGAACTCTAAAGACAAAAAAGAAACCCAGCATTGGAATAAAGAGCCATTTAATTTCTGTAATTTTGTTGGTTATTTTTGTTGGATTTTAAAAATTCCTTAAATCACAGATTGCCAAATGGATTTTAAATTTCACACCATGTTTTTCAGGTATGGCTACTCAGGAAAGAGAAAAAAACATAATTAAGCACCTTTAAAATCCACGTGAGTAATGCTGATCCACTGCCCACTAATGCTGAGGAAAAACTGTTATGGATTCTATCTGGGTCTTGGAGCAGGCTCTAAATACTTCCTTACACAACAAGTTAAACATATCACTACAACTCTGCAATAAAAACTGCTTTTAAATGTAGAATTTTTCCATCTAGGGAAAACCTTTTACTCACAGCTCCCTCCTATCCTTCCTGAACCCTCTCCCAAGTGACATGAGCTCATCTCTTCATGTGTTACCTTGCCACCGGGCGAAACCTGTGCTTGGCCTTCTGATGTTTGTGGCGTACATGTTTTCTGTGACCCTGGAGATGTTGAAGACACAGGTGTTGATGCTGCTGCTGCTGCTGCCAGTGCTGGAGGAAGGTCATCTTCGTCACTGCCATTGATAAAAACAGACAGATTTTCTCATTAGAAAATGCCACCGGACTTTTGACTGCACTTGTGTCAGAGCAGGCACTGGTAACATGTATGTCTGCTGTAGTGCTTTGAAATGAAGCTCCATTTACTCTTCCCTCTGAAAAGCAGCTACCTTTTCAAGTAAATTAGATTTTTTTTTTTTAAGCTTTAAAGATTCCTTAAAAATGGGTTGGCTAGGTACTTCTCATCTCCAAATGGAAATCTTACGGTTATTAGGTGCGAGTGGCATTTCTATGGATTATGTATATATGTATGAATGAACAGGCTAGATATTACTCCACTTTAATGTTTATTCTTTTCTAGGAAGGCTGGCAGCATTGATAAGAACAGATATGGTGACATCCATCCGTGGATCTGACTGCTTCACTGGCATCAGACAATGGTAGATTTGACACTCATTATGGAGCTAGTCTATGCTGCTATTTTCAAACTGTATTTAAAGGAATTTGACTGACTCCAAAAAGGATCGCTTTACAAATATTCTTGTGAGGGTATCTTTTTCCTGCCCCATTTATTCCATTTACAGAGAAAACATTTTATTTAAGATGAGGTTGCATGCTTTCTCTGGGCTTTAGGCCGTGAAGCTGAACTCTTTCCATCTCACCTACTGTCACTACTAAATTAAAGCCAGTAAAGAATGTTATACCTTCATTTAATTTTGCAGAACCCCATTGACTACAGACCACTAGGATCAGTCAGTCCTGAGTCAGGATGTTTCCAGTTGTTAATTACAACTGGATGGAGGTAAACAGAGGCATAATTTGGCCTACGGAAGCATTATTACTGGGAATGATGTGTGAAAAGGAAAGACTACAGATTGACAGCTTAATGCACAGTGAAAAATAATGAGAAAAATTACTTCTGCTCATAAAACAGCACTAATTTTAACTACCAATTAGGTACTCACAGTGCACAGAAGCCTGCCATGCCAGCTTGACTGCATGTATCTGCCTTGCCAGATACTTCCAGAACAGAACTACACTTGATTTAGTGCCACTTGAAGGTAGCATGCCTGGACAACACAAAAAACTTCAAAACTACATGACATACAGGTTACACAACCTTATACTGGGTTGCCTAGCAATGTTTTTTTTAATTATGATGTAAAAGGTTGGTGATTAATATTATCTTTTTCAAACTTCATTTTTTATTCCTTCTAGTTAAGGACAGAATTCAGCACCATAGCATGCACAGTACACAGGTTTTATGCTGGAAAGGAATTGTGAAATCTTTTGGACCTGTTGAATGGACATTTTATTAATGTAACAAGCCCAGAGCTGAGATGTTGACCTAGTTAATCTCTCTTTCAGAAATGTGTAGATGACATTTTCCCAGTCCTTGTTCTCCACTCTCAGCAGGAATTCACTGGCACCCTCCCCATCCTTTCTGAGTAAAGCTCCTCTGGTGTATACAAGGAAGCGGAAAAATAAGAGTTAGGGTTGATTTATCAGCCATGAAGCTATCAGCACGCTAGCTGTAAGACTGAGAAATGGCTTTCACTGTATTACTTTCACCATAATCCTTTGCTGTTTCTTCACATTTCACATATTTGCATTCCAGATACAAGATAATTTAAATTGAACAGAATTGGAGTTTACAAAAATAAAAAAAAAAAAAATTGTGGCCCATATTTTTCTCTAGGGAGTCTTTAGCCCAGCATAGGTGACACCTGTGGTTAGATGTGTATATTAGCTGTTCCTCACACCTTATACTAGACAACTGAAAATCCACATGCGAGCAAGACATGTTCAAAACTGTTCATCAGAATCTCATCAATCAAAAAGTGATGGTATGTTGCCACATGCCAGTCTTGGCCTCTTGGACCAATACCAATTTGGCTAATAGCTCATTTTCCTCCTAGCTTCAATTTGACTAGTTCTTCTGTTCTTGTCCTAAATAACTTTTCAGTTTTGGTAATGCAGACTGTTACAAAGACAATGTTCTTAACAGTGAAACAAAAAATAACAACGTATTGATATTTATTAGAATCATTCTGAAGAGACAAAAAAGTTTTCCTAATGTTGATATATATTCACTGACATTAGAATGTTGAAATCCTGGATGGACCAACAGTTGCCGTTCCACACAGAAAGCATACATATTTTTTTCTTTATTATGGCATTGGTATTCTTGTACTAATAAGTTTATGCTGACATTATCCCTTTTCCCCCTTAATTTCTGGTGGCCTTGTCCGTCTTTTCATGGGAGAACAAATCAACAGTGACTTTCTCTTCTGCTCAGTACCTCACATCTCTAGAGACTTTCAAGTGGAATGAATTATGTGTAAATGGGATGCCAAAGCCCTGTAGGCACAGATCCCTCTTTCCAGGACTAAGAGAATTCGTTTTGCTGGCTGTAGCTGTAGCAGGCTCAGCAATTTCTTCATGTGACAAATCACAGAGAGGGAGGGTGTGCTCTCTGAGAGGGAATGGCTCACAGCACAGCTTGATGCCTCAACAACTAAAGAATGTTTTCCTCATTTTGCAAATGGGGTTGTAATGAAGCCAACAGAGCAGCTCGTTCCAGCTCACACCAGGTCTTTGACGTCTCATGTGGTAAAGAGGTTTTTAATTCCTAACCCATAAGCTTGGGAAAAGGTGGATGGCCTGCAATTCAAAGGGTTAGCCACTGCATAGGAAAGGAAAATTCACTTTGCATTAAGATTCTCAGTGATGAAAGGAATGGTATCGGTATAAGATCATTATCATGTAATTGCACTCATGCCTTTCAGAAGGCACAGCTAGAACAATAATTAGCATCCCCTTTCATTTTCAGTTGTAGTAGGCAAAACCACAAAGATAATGCTGTGTGTTACTCACAAACTGTACTGCCTCGTTAACTTCCTCACACGGGGAGCTTTAACCTCCTGCTTTTCTGTAGGAACAGTTGTTGGTGTAGTTTCAGGCCTCACTGGAGCTGGACTTCTAAAAATAGCAAGAAAAACATATGTCATACAGGTTCTATTTAAACTACTTCAGGCATATCACCAAAGTTCTAACTCATCAACACTTATCTTGCAAAGTGGCAAGTGCCCATTGAAGTTCATCCTTTTGTTCCATTTATAGTTCACTGGCCAGTGTGTGTGTGTGTACAGAAAAGGATGTGTGAACTCACCCTCCTGTGCTGGGCATACCATTTATAGAAGCAGACACTGGTTACAAACACAGAGCCTATGTGAAAGACCATATGGAAATGTCACTGTTTCCAAAATACCACATTTTAATAACGGACTAGCAGTTCAGTCACATCAGAAACATTTTTACAAAATATATGTTTAACAAAAACTATTTTATGAATTGTGAAACCTGTTCTGATTAAAATATTTTTATTTGAAATTAAACATTATCCTTCCACAGCTGAAAGAGCACCTCAAGGGAAATGAACTAATGGATATGATCCAAGAAAAATGATCAAATTTTTTCCAACTTGCTAGAAAAAAGCAAAACTCAGACGTGTTTCAGATGCTTATTAATGTGAAATACATCTGCAGAGCTCCAGCAAAGGAAAGATACGGCAATGAGGAGGTCCACATGAAAGAATCTTCTCCTTAACCATTTATCAGTAGAATTGACTCAGGCTTCAATAAAAAAAAAAATCATAAATACGAAATAAAAGATCCTCATGCCCTTGGTAGGAAAGCAATTCAACCATGAGCTTGAGGAGCATGAAGACACATGAAACATCTTAAATACTGCTTTTATTTGAAACAACAGGTTATGATTAAATACACTATATGTGTACTATAAACATAATAAATATGCCAAACATTAAAAAAATAATTTGAAAGTCCTGATTAAAAATGTGTGAAATGGTATTCTGCCATCTAATCTGAAGTCAGATTCTAAATTAGTAACTTGAGCAGCCCTACTGATTGCTGATGGGACTGCACATGCACTGAGGTACATTTCACAAATAGCAAAAGTTTTTCTAGTCTACTTACATTGTATTAGCCTTCTAAAGCCTTAATAAGATAAGCATGTTTAATTTTCATCATTGCAGATCCCTCTGATGCCCCTGTGTTTTAAGCTTTGTTAACTCTCTTTGATAACTTCTGAACCTGATGTCGAGCTACAACAGAACCTACTGAGATGGCACAGCTTTCAGGTTGTATATTCAGTTTTCCTAAATGTCTCTTAGTCTTTGGAGAGTTCACAGAGCATGAGATGGAACAGTGGAAACTATTGAAGTACAAAGGGCATAAATACATAATAAACCTGATTACTAGTTCCACTTCTTATAAAACAACTTTTGTCAATTATTTACCTGCTATTTGTTCCCATTGATTTCAAGAAGTTAGTATAGATAGCAGCAAGATATCTATATCAGATATATTTCATTTCCCCAGTTCAAATTTCAGTATCACTCATTTTTATCACAGATTTCTCAATGACATTAATGCAGAACAAGCCAGCCAGATCTGAAGTCCTTTTGCTGAGTTTGTTAGGCTATTAGGCTGGCAAATAAGGGGAAGATAAGCAAAGGGAGGCAAAAAAGCCCAAATCATCTATTTTAGTCTTGAATTCAATATATCTGATGTGAAAATCTGTGAATCAACCTCATTATGGAAGCTCCCAAGATCATTTTGATCAAGTCAGACTTCAGATTGGAAGACAACACTAGCTCTTCTTTTGCTGAAGCAAAGGTACTATTGGTTACTGAAAAAAATTACATATTCTATTTACCCAAAGTGATTTCCAATTGAAGACTGACATAAGCAGGATAAATATGTTAAGATACATTAAACAACAGAAAATCAAATTCTGAAGGGGTGTAAATGACTGTAATTATTTTCAGCTCAAATATATTAGCTGACATTCTTGCTCTGTATGAGTGGTCCTCACAACTTTCCAATAATTTTGTAAGAGGGTACCTTACAATTTTTAAACCTTTTCACCAACTCAATGAGAATGGAAACAAACAGAGTGGTATAAACTGCATGAGTTGAATAACATTTCCTCAAAATGATAGAAGTGATGAACTAATGCTATGAAGGGGTTCAAGAAACAGCGAAGTGTAGAATAGGAAAGGAAATACAAATCTATTTCCAGTTCATGGGTGCTTCAAATTTCTCAGGACAACATTATAACCTGTGATGTAAGTCACTCAGATACTTTCAAACAAAGGAAGATTTGAAGTGATAATTTCAGCTCTTTTATTATGCTTTTATTACAAAGCCTGTGTATCTCCTTTCGAATACTATGGTTTGTAATTTAAGAAAAAAAAGAGGAAGAGGTGGCGCTTTTGAAGCAGTTATTTCAATTGTCACAATCAAATTTTTGTTTGAAAAGATGTCGTGCAATTTTGTAACTAAAGCAGTTTACAATGATTTCAAAGCAAGTTATAAATCTGACTTTTACATAGGAAAAATTTTAAAATTCTAAGTCTGAATTAATGCTGAAAAAAATGTTTAACATGAAAAATTTCACTCAACTGTAAATAAAGTTTTTGAGATACAAACAGCACCTACTCTCTAAACCAATATAAAGATGAAAAACTTCTTATTTTCCTTTGAATGCTGCAGATTTTCAAATAGGGAAAAAAGTCAAGTAAACATTAGACATACCTACTCCTTTTTCAGCCATTATAATTGCTCAGATAAACTTCACTTATGTTTTGTATCACACCAATAAAGTATTCCACTCACTTATGTTGCAAAACCAATACTATTTTAAAAACAAAATTTTCTTTCCCATTACAATAAAATTTTGACATAAGTTTTGTTAGAGGCTGGCGGCAGCAACTACCTTTCCCCTGAAATTTATCAGGCCTCTGGGGAAGAGACAAGCACCATTTATTGCACATTTTGAGACGCTGCAGGTTAGCTAGGATTTAAATTGAAGTTACCCCCGAATGAAAAGGAGCTGTGGCAATGTCTCAACCCAAAGAGGCCATTAGCACAAGATGAAACATTAGACTAGTCCTACAAACTGCAGAGCTGGAATTTTGCCCTCATTAAAAGCTTGCTAGGTTACCTCTTTCCACACCAGACTAAAAATTCCACTACAGCTCTTGTTTCATCTCCAAACACTCTTCCTCAGTCTGAACCTGCTCAAAACTGTCGTTACTCTCTCAATAGCAACTAGATGCAAGAAGTGCTCAGCTTGATCAACCCATCACCCAATCTGTGTTTTAAAAATGGCAGGCTTTTAATATCATAGAAACTCTTTAAAAAATCTCATTGATATTCCAGAAAAAGTAATAGAATAACTTCTGTTACTGTCCTTTGATTTCTGCAGTCAGAATGCTTATATGGAAAGATATGATTTTTGAAGAGAAGCCCTGTAATTATTTCAATTATTTAAATGGAGTGATTATGTGGAGATATCACCATTTCAAGTTTGTAGTCCTATATAAATTACACAGCTTTATAAACTACTGCAGTCCTGTACAAATTATGCAGCTTGAGGAAAACCAAAAGTGTTAAAGGATCAGTGGGACTCGGAATTAAAATGAAAAAGAAAATGTACAGTGCATTACAGTTCCTATAGAAGGCTCTTTTTCAATGTCATTAATTCATAAACCTTTTTCCTGTAACAGTACCCAACCACTACTGCATACAAATGAAGGTACTGAACCAAGACAGACTTACTTAATGACCTGGCACCTTACATAAAAATCTGTCGCTTCCTGGTGAGAATGACAATAACAACCACGAATGTCAGCATGCTGTGGCAGGTCATCAGAAACTGCCTGTGCAGTGAGAGCCCCAGCACCCTCCTGAGCCACAGCCAGCATACTCTCCAGAACTAGCTTCAGCCTGTTCCACAAGCCTGCACAGCAACACAAACACGACCCAGCGAGAGATCCCCCCCCGACCCAAGGAATCTGTTTTGTTCTCAGACTAGCAGCCAAGAAGGTGACTGAAACCAAAACTACTCACAAAAAAAAAAAAAATTACCCTGTGGAACATTTCAAGTGACCACAGATGTACACTGGTTTACCATGAACCTTCTTTGGGAGCGGAATGCATGTGCTCATGTTGAGGGACTCGGGGTGTCCCACCTCACCTTGGCTCTGATTGCAGGGCTGAGGCCACTCCTGCACCACCCATTTGTGTGCTGTGGCTTTCTTGTGCCCTGCTTGGGTGGCTCTGGGGAGACCTCCATGCTTCTTTGAAACGTGGCAATTGGGCTAAGTAGGATAAAATGATAGTCCACATCATAAATTGAATGGCATTAATTAACTTATCTTACCTTGGAGGATCCAGTTCAGGATTTTAAAACTATCAAAGTCTGCTGGGGGAACACACTTCCTGCACTTGTCTTTAACAGGCTTTATCCTCTTGGCTTCTCTTTCTCTTTGTGCTTATTTTGTCATCTGGAACAATCCCTCTCCCTGTGTCTTCCCAAACTGATGCCAAGAGATAGAAGATAAAACCCCCATGATTACAAGGATACAGCCAGCTGCATGAAAGTTATCCTGCTTTCAGATGCTGACTCATGGAAAAAAAAAAAAAAGCCTCAGAAGGTTGATTTTGGCTGCAGAATTCCCTTTGAGTGGGAACATGATAGTGAAAACTTGGGAAGTATAAGCAAGAAAAAAGGAAGGAGAAGGAAAAATATCTGATAGATGCATTCTCTTGTATATCAAAGACATAGCCTAACAAGCTAAGCAAACACAGACAAACACTCAAATCTTCCCTAAGCCTGTGCTCTTAGGATTTCGCACATTTCTTTTCCAAAGGTCATCTGAAGTTAAGAAGCAATATGTTCTTTTTCACTTTGATAAGCTACCTTTTCTCAGAAGACAGGTTAGCTCTTCAAAACATTGCTTGGACATTTTAAAGCTACTGCCCATATAAAATTTTCTAAATAAAGTTTTTTTCTTCTTTTTACCTCCCATACCCTCTCGTGATAGATTGCAGATGTATAACAAAGATCCTTGCTTCAGTTTATGTGCTTTTCTTACTACCAAATTGAGTTCT